AAATATCAGGTCTAGTCACTGTGAGGTAATTTAATTTACTAACCAACCGCCTATATCTTGCAGGATCGCTAAGAGGCTCCCCCTGTCCAAGCAGAAGTTTAGAATTCGGATCCATCGGAGTGTCAACAGGTCTACAACCTGTCATTCCTGTCTCCTCAAGAATATCTAAGGCATACTTCCGTTGTGAGATCACAATACCTGAGCTAGACTGAGCGACCTCAATACCTAGAAAATACTTTAATCTGCCCAGATCCTTTGTCTGAAAGTGCTGAAAGAGATGTTGCTTCAACTTACTAATACCATCCTGATCATTGCCGGTAATAACAATATCGTCAACATAAACGACCAGATAAATACAGAGATTTGAAGCAGAATGTCGATAAAATACAGAGTGATCAGCTTCACTACGAGTCATGCCAAACTCCTGAATAACTGTGCTGAACTTACCAAATCAGGCTCGAGGAGACTGCTTTAGACCATAGAGGGACCGGCGCAACCGACATACAAGGCCACTGGACTCCCCCTGAGCAACAAAACCAGGTGGTTGCTCCATATAAACCTCATCCTCAAGGTCATCATGAAGAAAAGCATTCTTAATGTCCAACTGATAGAGAGGCCAATGGCGAACAACAGCCATGGATAGAAAAAGGCGGACTGATGCAATTTTAGCCACGGGGGAGAAAATATCACTGTAATCGAGTCCAAATATCTGAGTATATCCTTTGGCAACAAGACGAGCCTTAAGTCGATCAACTTGGCCATCTGGACCAACTTTGACTGCATACACCCAACGACAACCAACAGTCGATTTACCCGAAGGAAGAGGAACAAGCTCCCAAGTACCACTTGTATGTAAAGCAGACATCTCCTCAATCATAGCCTGTCGCCATCCGGGATGAGACAGTGCTTCACCTGTAGACTTGGGATGGAAACAGAGGACAAAGATGTCACAAATGCACAATGGGATGGTGAGAGACGATGGTAACTTAAACCGACATAATGAGGATTAGGATTAAGTGTGGACCGTATACCTTTTCGTAGTGCAATCGGTTGATTAAGAGGAGACAAGTCCGCAGTATTAGCAGGGTCAGGTGCAGGACATGATTCAGCTGGGCTTGATGTTGGGTGCGGACGACGATGATAAGTCAGGAGTGGTGGAGTTGTAGAAGGTTGAACTGGACTAGGTGGTGGCATTGGAGCTATAGTTGGTGGAACTGGACACTGGACTCGGTGGTGACACTGGACTCGGTGGTGGCACTGGAGTTAGAGGTGGTGGAGCCGCAACTGGAACTTAGGTGGTGGAGCTATGGAGGAAGATGAATGAGAGATAGTACAAAAGAAGGAACTGGTAGCACCTTAGAAATATCTAAGTGATTAACTAGACCTGTGAAGTATGATTGGGTTTCAAAGAAGGTAACATCAACAGACATAAGAAATCGCTGAAGGTCAGGAGAATAACATCGATATCCCTTTTGCGTTCTCGAGTAACCCAGAAATATGCACTTAAGAGCACGAGGAGCTAACTTATCTTTTCCTGGAGTAAGGTCATGAACAAAGCACGTACTCCCAAAGACACGGGGTGGAAGAGAGAACAAAGGTAAGTGGGGAAACATGACAGAGAATGGAACTTGATTTTGGATAGCTGAAGATGGCATACGATTAATAAGATAACAAGATGTAAGAACTACATCTCCCCAGAAACGCAGCGGAACATGAGATTGTATGAGTAGGGTACGAGCAGTTTCAACAAGATGTCTATTCTTTCTTTCAGCTACCCCATTTTGTTGGGATGTGTACGGACAAGATGTTTGATGAATAATCCCATGGGAGTTCATAAACTGCTGAAATGGGGAAGACAAATACTCTAGGGCATTATCACTACGAAATGTGCGGATATAAACCCCAAATTGATTTTGAATTTCAGCGTGGAAGGTCTGGAAAATAGAAAATAACTCAGACAGATTTTTTATCAAAAATATCCAAGTGCACCTGGAATAATCATCAATGAAACTGACAAAGTAGCGGAATCCCAAGGTAGAACTGACCCGACTAGGACCCCAAACATCTGAATGGACTAAAGTAAAAGGTGACTCTGCTCGATTATCAAGACGCTGCGGGAAATGGGAGCGGGTATGCTTACCGAGCTGACATGACTCACACTCTAGAGTGGACAAGTGAGATAAGCCAGGTACCATTTTCTGAAGTTTTGACAAACTAGGATGTCCTAACCGTTTATGTAATAAATCTGGTGAATCAGTAACGGGACAAGTTTTTGGAGGAAGACAAGATGCGAGTCCATGTGATTTTGCAAGGATAAGGTAATAAAGTCCATTTGATTCACGTCTGGTACCAATGATCCGCCCTGTACTGCGTTCCGGTATAAAAACAAGGTCATCAAGAAATAACACAATAGATTTAAGTGATTTGGCTAAGCGACTAACAGCTATGAGATTAAAAGGACTACCAGGAACATAAAGAACGGAGTCTAAAGGTAAGGAAGGAAGTGGACTTGCTTGACCTATTGCAGTTGCCATGGCTTGAGACCCACTGGCCATTGTGACTGTTGGAAGAGATTGAGAATATGAAATACTAGTGAAAAGAGATTTGTTACCAGAAATATGATCAGATGCACCTGAATCAATGACCCAAGACTCAGAAGGTGAAGATTGGGAGACACAAGTCATGCTACTATTTGTTGGAACAACGGAGGCTAATCCTGAAGATGTCTGTGTGCTTTGTACTAAAAGAACACAATATAATCCGGTAAAGAAACCATCTGGATTGGATTCAATGCATTGGATCCAACGGATTGTGAGTTAAAGGCTTCCGATACGAATGCCATTATAATATCGTGCCGGAAAAAGCAGAAATTTTCTGGGGATCACTGTTCACGCCGGAAAATCACTGTAGCTCGCCGGGAAAATTCCAAAGTTGTCGGAATCTGTCGGAAATAGTACCAATGGACTCGGAATTGCAAGGAGATGAAGCTGTCCTGAAGAATTTTTTTCAAAATCTGATCGGAAGAGGTCACACGCGCGTGACAGACGCGCCGCCGGAAGCAAATCTCCGATAGGCGCGTGACGGCGCGTGTGAGTATTTTCCGGTGAATTTTTCTGGGGTTTGGTCGGATCTCTCTTGGGAACCTTGTGGCGGTGTTGGATTTTGCACAACACTGATAATAAGTGACTTTGACGCAATCAACCACTTAGGTCACCGGAAAATTGCACGGTGACTGAGTTCTTTCTTCCCAGATGTCGCTGGAATGACGCACAACGATCTCTTCTCACCGATGCTATGATACCATGTGAGAATGCACTGGAGAAAAATCTATTTATTTATTAATTATGACAATGATACAATGAGCCCTATATATAATACATGTCCTACTCCTAATACATATGGGATTAGAGTTATTTACTACTATCTAACTATCAAACTAACAATTATTATCTATTACTACTATTACTACTATTATTATTATTACTATTTTTACTATTATTACTATTACTACTATTACTACTACTATTATTACTATTATTATTATTATTATCATTATTACTATCATTACATCATCATCATCATGTTTATGTTTATGTTGTTGTCGTTGTTGTCTGTACATAATCGAAGAGAATCTCGAAAAGATCTCTTCCTCTGTGGTATTCTTGAAAATTGTCTCTTCTTGTTTGATGTGAATTGCAAATCGGAAGAAAAAAAAACTAAAGTCCTACAGAAACAAGGATGGGATATTTGATTACACTAAATGTTACACCGTCAAACTAAATGGTACCTTAAAAAAACTAAACATCCATGACCTAGAGAAACAAAGATGGGATCATTTGACTACACTGAATGTTGAACAATCAAAATAAATGGTACCATAAGGAAATGATAAATGAACTATGTCTAAGCTGGGAACTACATTGAACAGCGTCATCTTTTGGGTTGCTCAAAAGAAGCCTTGATTTCCATAAGAAAAAATAAGGATCCTTGATGTTACTTACTAGATTAGGCCGACTCTTAGGTTTCATCATCGTAATGTTAGAATAAGCTGCAAAGAATCTATAGGTCTAATCTCTAAAGTGGATAAAGGTTGGTTTTAAAATATTTTTAGTATGTCATCAGTAATATGATAGAGGACAAGTGTATTTGGTACTTGTATTGGTGTAAGAATGTAGGCAATCTTAAAAGACAAAAGAGCAAAAAAAAGGGCATGGTCTATGAGCTTGAAGCGAAAAACAAGTCACTGGTAAAATGGTAAAATAAAAATTCACCTGCATGCTTCTTTGTAATGAGATACAATTTTTTTTGAAAACTAACAAATTTTAAACATATATGAATTTTGAGTACCATAATAATCGAATGTTTGTTAAAATAACTATTTCAGCATACCAATAAACAATAGAATCAACCGCATCTCGTTGTTGTCATTGTTTGAAGCATATCACCCATGAAGTGATAAGCCTTTGCTTCCTGTCGCTTTAAGCGACAAAAGGATGGATTTTAATAACAAAGAATGCAGGTATCCAATAGAATAGTTGAGATGCATGCAAGCTGTCCTAATACCCCACATATATATAAATGTATATATTCGGAGAATCTGTTTTCATAGTAAAGGTGCAACCACAAACAAATACAAATATCAAACTTTATTAAAATTAAACACCAAATATACATGGGCATGTCAATGACTGCCACGTGTGGTGCTGAACATTTTTGCATCCCATGTCCAGTCAGTACATTTTTTTAACTTCAGAAGATTTGGTTCCCCTTTCTACAATTAGATCTGTTATGTTTGATTTTGGCGACAATATTCATGAATGATAAGTTAATAATAAAAAAATAAGAAAAAGATTCTTCCTTGTAGGCTGTAAGTCCTGTAGTCAGTTGCTTAATGATAACCATATAGGATACGGTAATAGGTGCATATGCTGTTTATATTGATTATCACATCACCACCCCCTGAAGCTTGCATGACATTCTCGAATTATCTTCTTTTTCAGGTTGGCATATTTGTAGTGTATGTCAAAAGGCTTCCCAATATATGTGCTATACTTGTACATATTCAGTGTGCAAAGGATGTACAAGAAATGCTGATTACTTCCGTATTCGAGGAAACAAAGGCTTTTGCTCAACATGTATGAGAATGATCATGCTGATTGAGAAAATAGACCAAGGGAACAAGGAGATGGTATGCTGTGCTCCATAATCTCATTACAGATTATTGATTTGGCATTTGATGAGTTCATCAAGTCTTTTCGATTTCGAGTAAGATATATTCTTCTGAGAATGATTAATGCCTTGTGGTTAAATAAAAAACGGCACATTCTCCAGGAACTGATCTGATCATCAGTTCCAATTGGCAATTGCTAATTTTGTCCAAACATTTTTCCTATCATGCCTTGCTAGATTTGTAAATAATTAAAACAAGAAGGAAATTGTTTGTTTAAAATTTTGTTCATAGATAGTATTAGTGTATACCTTTTATTTTCTTTTATTTCTGCAGTATGCTTGGTTTTGATACTTCTTTGCAATTTGTATTTGGCTTTAAGTGCCTGAAATCCTTTCAGGTTCAAGTAGATTTTGATGACAACAGCAGCTGGGAGTATCTTTTCAAGGTATACTGGATGTATGTAAAAGAAAAGCTATCATTAACTTTAGGTGAACTAATTCAAGCTAAAAGCCCATGCAAAGAATCAGATGCAATTGCTAAGAGACAGCGACTACCTTTTGGTTATCGTGTTGCCCTCGATGGAAAAGGTACTAGGGGCAACTCTTATGACAATTTAGAGCTGAAGAAATCCAAACAATCGCTAGAGCCACCTTGCAAGGATCCTCCAAGCACTGAAAACCGAACAATTGTTGAGCCTGAACGTTTAAGTGTTGCTGGCTGTACTCCACAGTTGGAGCTAACACAGCCCATAGAACTAGAGTTACAGAATAAAGATTCTTTGGAGACAGAAGAAGCAAGCACCAGCATGGTGACATCTTTGACTGGACGCATGGAATGGGCATCCAAAGAGCTTTTGGAGCTTGTTGCACGCATGAAAAATGGTGATACTTCTGCTTTATCTCATTTTGATGTGCAGGCATTATTACTAGAGTACATTAAGAGAAATAATCTTCGAGATCCTCGCCAGAAAAGTCAAATAATTTGTGATTCGAGGCTCAAAAGTCTTTTTGGAAAACCTCGCGTTGGCCACATAGAAATGCTAAAGCTTCTTGAGTTTCACTTTCTGATAAAGGAGGGTTCGCAGAAGAGTGCTTTTATACCAGCTGGAATTGTTGGAACTGTTACTAACCATGTGGAAGCTGATGACAATATTGATAGCTCATTCTTGAAAAATAAAACTAAGAAACGTAAATCTCGTAGAAACTCTGAAGAAAAATTGGTGCAGATTAATCTAGATGAATATGGTGCAATTGATGCTCACAATATCAATCTCATATATTTGCGGCGTAATTTGATGGAGAGTCTCATGGAAGATATGGAAAAGTTCCACGGCAGAGTTATTGGCTCAGTTGTCCGTATAAGAATATCTAGTAACAATCAGAAGCAAGAAATGTACAGGCTTGTTCCTGTTATAGGTACAGATCTTTCTTAAAAGCTTTTCTTAACTAATGATGATGTAAATAAGATTTTGCCCTAGTTTCCAGAGCCATAATATCTTCAATGCAGGTACAAGCAAGGCACTTATTCCATACAAGATTGGAGATAAGACAGCTGATGTACTTCTTGTAGTATTAAACTTAAACAAGAAAGAGGCTGTAGCTATTGAGTCTATTTCAAATCAAAATTTCTCTGAGGTAACTAGATACAAGCAATTGTTCCTTGTTCACTACTTTGAATTGCATCCTTTTTTGGTCACAATTGTTAAGAGCTCTGCTTACAGGTAGATATTGCAGGAGGTAAGTGGAATATTCATATTTTCTGTTCTTTGTTGTGGGACAATAATTTTTTTTCTCTCTCTCTCTCTCTTTTTTTGGTTGCATTGTTTCCTAATTAGGCTATGAAATCACATTTACCTCAAATAAGGTAGCAACAACACCTCTGTATTATATGTAGTTTTGTATATTAAGTAAATCTAGAGATGGTGATAGAGAGACTTCTTGTGCGGGAAAGAAATTCATTTGGTAGATGGGAGAAAGAGTACTATCCCCTATTCAATTGTCCTCTCTTAATACTAACTGTTATCATCCAATTTTGTCCCTCCTTTCTCTAAATAATAATTCTCTTTGGCTCTAACAATTAAAGCAAAAGAGATATTAGTGTCCCATCTATTGTGAGGATTCATCATAAATTGACCTACAATCTCTTGGAATTCACGCAGACCTAGCAAAAACAGGGCACAATGGAAGAATAAGTTCTGTGATACCAATTGGTTAGGACTCTGTGCAGCGTACAGAACAATTCTTATAGATATTGGGGAATGTTAGAGAAATGAAAAAACTAGCTTTCTTTACCTCGTGTGCCGTACAGGTACAAGCTTATTTTTCTTAATAATAGTAGTGTTCGAGTCAGCTTACGTGCACCTCGACTGTTTTACTGGGTTTTTCTATCCTTCGGTGCTGCTTGTGGAAGGAGTCTAGAGAGGACACATATCACCTTTTATTGAATTGCAGACTTATATATTATAATCAAAGACTGTGCTTTTCTATTCAATATCTCATGGGTGTTATAAAGGTGGAAGAATGCTGGAGGGTCGGCGATTTGTTAGGGAAGAAGGCGACTTGAAAGAACAACCATGTTTATTTTGTTGCTTATTTGGAGTGAGGAATTGGAGAGTGTTCCATAATAGTAAGAGTAATTTTAGGAGTCTTAGAAAATCATTCTTCTTGCATTTATTATTGTTGCTTTTATTGAGCCGAGGGTCTTCCAGAAACAACCTCCCTACCTTCACGAGGTAGGGGTAAGGTCTGCATACGTACTACCCTCCCCAAGCTCCACTTGTGGGAAAACACTGGGTATGTTGTTGTTGCATTTATTATTGTTGTTGTTGTTTCCATGATAGTAGGAGTGATGTTATTTGGAGTGGTGTTGTTGTGTTCAAGGATTGGCAAGGGAAGAAGGTAATTGGAGGAACAACCATGTCTATTTAGGCAACTTGGAGGAACAATCATGTCTTTTTTTGGTTTATTTGGAGTGAGGAATAGGTGGTGTTGTTGGTATTGGTGTTGTTGTCGGTGTTGTGTTCAGAGGATTGGCAAGGGAAGAAGGCAAGTTGGAGGAACAACCATGTCTAGTTTTTGGCTTATTTGGAGTGAGGAGTATGAGATTGTTCCTGTTAGAATAGTCATGTAAATAGGAGTAAATAAATAACCCTAGTCCAATATATATTAGGAGTAGGACATGTTATGTGTGTATATATATAGGGCTCATTGTAACATATGAATATACATCAATAATATATTTTCTCCCGTGCTTTCTCACATGGTATCAGAGCAACCGTGAGAAATTTATCGTTGTGCGTCATTCCAACGATATCCGGGAAGAAACAACTCAGTCACCGTGCAATTTTCCGGTGACCTAAGTGACTAATTGCGTCAAAGTCACTAATTATCAGTGTTGTGCAAAAACCAACACCACCACAGGGTTCCCAAGGCTCCGGCGACCAAACCCCAGTAAACCCCACCGGAAAACANTGAGCAGATCGTTGGATACTCAGATGCTGATTGGGCAGGATCACCTTCTGATAGACGTTCTACGTCTGGATATTGTGTCTTGGTAGGAGGAAATTTGGTGTCCTGGAAGAGCAAGAAACAGAATGTGGTTGCTCGGTCTAGTGCAGAAGCAGAATATCGAGCGATGGCTATGGCGACATGTGAGCTAATTTGGATCAAACAGTTGCTCAAGGAGTTGAAATTTGGTGAGATTAGTCAGATGGGACTTGTGTGTGATAATCAAGCTGCTCTTCATATTGCGTCAAATCCAGTGTTCCATGAGAGAACTAAACACATTGAGATTGACTGTCACTTTGTTAGAGAAAAGATACTCTCGGGAGATATTGCTACAAAGTTTGTGAAGTCGAATGATCAACTTGCAGATATTTTCACCAAGTCCCTCACTGGTCCTCGTATTAACTACATATGTAACAAGCTCGGTACATATGATTTATATGCACCAGCTTGAGGGGGAGTGTTAGAATAGTCATGTAAATAGGAGTAAATAAATAACCCTAGTCCAATATATATTAGGAGTAGGACATGTTATGTGTGTATATATATAGGGCTCATTGTAACATATGAATATACATCAATAATATATTTTCTCCCGTGCTTTCTCACAGTTCCATAATAGCAAGAATGATGTTAGGAGTCTTAAAAAATCATATGATGTTAGGAGTCTTAGAGAATCATTCTTGTTAGCAAGAGTGTCGTTTCTGTAATAGCAAGGGAAGAAAGCAACTTGGAGGACAACCATCTCTAGTTTTGGCTTATTTGAGTGAGGAATAGGAGATTGTTCCATAATAGTAGGAGAGATGTTAGGAGTCTTAGAACATCATTCTTGCTGTCATGAAATTTAACTTAATTTGTCCCATGAAATTTAAGCACTTTTTTATTTTTTTGGAGTGTTTGGCAACAAAAAAAGCTGCTTAAAAAAAGCTAAAAAGTGCTAAAAAAAGCCAAAAGCACCAAGTTGGCTTTTTTTGATTTTGGCTTAAAAGCCATTTTAGTTTGACCAATAAAATTACTCTCTTGCCCTTATAAGTTTTTATAATACCAAAATTACCCTCTTCTTTCCTCTTCATCTTCATTTTTCTGTACTTTTCTTCAAGCAATTCAGTAGAAATCAACAAAACCATGCCCAGTTTCATCTCCATTCTCCTCTCAAAGGAGAAATCTTGCAAACGACCAAACCATGTTTCCAGGATTGTTCATGCGTAAACCTGACAAAGCAGCTGCTCTCAAGCAGCTGAAGACTTACGTCGCCCTTTTCGGAGCTTGGGTCGCCGTAATTCGGGTCACCCCATACATCTCTCACTGTTTTTCGGGTCAGAAAGAAGAACTCCTCCTCGAGCTCTAAATCCCTATTCTTTTTTGCACTTCTTTTCTACTTAGTTCCTCGAGAGGAAGGAATGTTTGGAAGAAAAGGAGCCAGTGTTCTCTACGCATCTGTTGACCCCTTCTCAGCCATTTCTGTCTCTAACAACTTTAAGGATATTTTTTGTCTTTTTAATAAGAAAAAGTGCTTACCACCACTTGTTTGCCAAACACTTCAACAGCTTTTTTTAAGTTTCAGCACTTTTATCCAAACATGCACTTAAAAGTTGTTTTTAAGCACTTGTGCTTAAAAGCCACTTTTTTTAAGCCAATCCAAACGGGCTCTAAGCTTTATTCACATTCCCTAAGGGAATTTTACATCACCGGAATTGAGGCTAAAGTAACATTTTATTTTGTGTGTGCTGTCTTGGAGTTGGCTTGCATATCAGATTATAGTATTTTATCAGTTTGGTGGCATTGTAATATCTCCATATTAGTAGGGGGCAATTGCAGTATCCACGAATAGGAATTGGGTTGTCATTGAGGGTATTGGGAGAAGGATTGAATGATTTTATTCTGTGGGTTGTTCAGGATACTGGGCCCTGACTGCAGTTCTGGTTAATGTTTTTTTATTTACTTTATCATAAATAAGTACTTTAAATTTTTAAATAAATAGCAGTAATTCAACTTTAGAAGTGGATGATTTTTGGTTGCTGCAGGGAGGGAATGAGGTTGGGATCAGCGGTGGTTGTTTTGGTGTAGGGTGGTGGGAAGATAAACTTGGGTCTAAGTGTGCACTGTTAGCTAACCCTTAAACCCCCCCCCCCCCCCCCACAAACCCGCCCCCAAAACAAAAGTAAAAAAAAAGGAATTATTTTATCTCAGTGAGATGGGAAAATTTAGTCTGGATAACACTCCCCAACCTGCCATTTTTATGTGAACCAAATGACCCCTTATAATCACTTCATACTCTGTTAACCATTGCAACCTGAAAGTTGGACTTTACCAAATTGTCCTTTTTGGTACTGACGATCACTCTTATGATATTAGTGGTCTAGCGGTTTATGAAATCTACTTCTCAATGTATCATGTGCACCTTTATTTATTGTCCTTCCCTATCTTGTGCTGTTTACAAACTGTGAAAGGCCTGAATCCTTTTTACTGGGTACTCCCTTGTTTTGTTGCTTTGAAGGGTCTACAATTTCTAATTTTCTATACATTCTAAAGCAGCTTCAAAGAGAGGAAAATTAGGCTTCTTTTGTCCACTAGTATTTGGCAATGTATGGCATGCTGAATTGACCATGTCATGTACAGAATCAAAATTTAGCATAAATCCAGGTGAATTGTGGGAAAAACGGATTGCAACATTGTTGCATTATTAATAGATAGCTTCATTTGCCTGTCTAGAAATGGTACATCAATGTCTTTTTGTTCTTACTTTATGCTAGGAAAATAGAAAGTGAACCTAATTCAACTCCAAAAACTAGTTGATGAGGTGAGATTGTCCAAGATCCATACCCTCAACCTATCTGAGACTCTTAACACCCTTCTATACGCTCAGGGTTGGAGGATTGGACATCTGTAGCATGAATAACATGATATGGGGACCATAGCCCAATATCAGGGCTGAGTTTGGCTATGATAAGTTAAGGAATACGGACCTTGGATCTAAATCTACTTCAAAAGATAGCTCATGAGGTAAAAATTGTTTTAAAAGGACTACCACCAAACCATGGGGCCTAATGGTATCAGGGGAGTTTACCACACTATAGGTGTGGGTTCAATTCCTTTTATCCTCCTTTCCTTTCTCCAGTCCCCTAATTAATGATAATTTTTCTTTTAAAGAAAGAGACTACAATTCATACCCTCAACAATGTGAGATTCTAATTATTTCGGCTGCTCGGTTACCTTAGTATGTTGTCCTTGTAAAGGGTATGTAGCAATTTCAGCAGGTGACTTGTTGATTCGTGTGATATTTTGATCATTCATTGTTATTTCTTCAGGATGAATGCAGAAGATTACGTCAGATTATAAAATGTGGGCTTGTAAAGCGGCTGACAATAGTAAGTGTCGAACCTGATGATATTTTTAAGTTTTACTTTAAAGATACTACGACATCTGACTTATTGATGCTTATTCTTTTACATAGGGTGAGATACAGAAGAAAGCAATGGAACTCCGTGCTGTAAAACTCAATGATGTATGTCAGTTGCTTTCTATGTGATCGCACCTTATTTATTATTCATTGCTATTTGCTTTTCTTTCCTTTGAATTATCTTAATCTTACCTACTTTGTTCAATATATTGCTCTGCATTTCTTGGTGATATCCTGTCTCATGGTTGATTTACTTAATATTTGGAGCAAAGGTATTACAAAATTCCTTAAATTTGCCCCTGGGCCATATGCAGTGAGATTAATTGCGAAGATGGAGAAGCAATTTAGTATATGATGCAACACTTTGCTTTGTTAGATATTCATGTAAATTTGCCTTCGTCAAGTAAATTTAATTGGAATGGAGCCGGTCAAGTAAGGTGGGATTGAAGGAGCTTAAATTAAGTCTTTAAAATGTGTTAGAAGGATTTCCTTTCTTCTCTGCTTCTTTTGTACTTTATAATTGGGCTAAAGCACAAAGAAGCGGCAGCTGAAAGAAGGAAATTGTAGCTAATCTACACATTTTGTTGCTCCACATTCCAAAGTAAGTAGCTGTTCTAACTCAAAAACAAAAGTCGGCAAATTGTTGTGGCTGTTCTCAACAACAACAACAACAACAAAAAACCCAGTAGTTTCCCACAAGTGGGGTTGTGGCTGTTCTCATGGAACTTAAAATTTTTGTATTTAAAGATGTTATAAATGTTGTGTTTGATATTTCTAAAAGAAAAAAAGCTGTGTTGTGATGTTTCAAAAAAAATGCTGTGTTGTGATATGCTGTTGCTTCTTTATCTGAAAAAAATACAGTCTCTGGAAGAAGAGGTACTGCGGCTCATCCATCTTCGTGATCGAGCAAGTGAGAATGGGCGTAAAAAAGAATATCCTTTCCTCTGTTGAAACAGTTTACCTTAATACTTTTGTTATCTTAAAATCAGATTGATGATGCCTCCAACTGAAATAGCTGATGCACCATAATCAAAAAACTTGTCTTTTTTTCTTACCTTTTTCTCTTGCTCCCGTCTCTTTTCTGACAGTTCCATATGTTTCTGTCTGATTACCTTAGCAAATGAAAAAATTTGGTTTATAGCTTGAGGTGAAAAAAGCAGTCAGAGGACAGAGGTTGGTTCTGAACAGGGAAAAGGACTAATTTTATTACAATGAGAAGCCTGGTCCTAAACAGGAACATAACTAATTTGAATTACATTTTAATTAGGTTAAACACTTTTTGAAAGTAAAACTTAATCCGAGTACAGATGGACGTCCTTTATTTCTTCTTGTCATTATAAGAAGATGGATGAATTTACTTGGTATAAGCTGGAGTGCTTTACAAATATGTTTTAACAATAATTACTTTGATAAGGTTCTGACTACATTGTCCTTGTCTGGATCTTCACATACATTAGTGGATTGACCATTTCAAAAACTATCACATTTTAGAAGAATGGGTTCACTCAAAATTGCTTTTTCTTTTTGCAAGTTACCTCTTATAAATAACACAAATGAAATGTGTTACAACAAATTACTTAAGCTATAGAAATATAATCTAAATCTTTTAATCATGAGATAACTGCTGGAAGCATATAGTGCTGTTGTTACATCATAATTTTCAGTTCAACATCTAAATGTATTGGGAGATTTATAAGATTTCAATATGAAAGTTTGATCTCGACATTCTTGTTCAAAAAGGAGAAACTTTGATTTCAATATCTTTTTTTTTTTGAAAAAGATAACATAGTTGTATATTGATATAAGACTTCACTAAAATTGTGAAGTCCCCCATAATTACAAAAAAAGGATGCCCTAGCAAAAATTAGGCACTCCTAGTCCTCCTTCTTCTTCTTATAAGGACTCTAAAACATCTAAAATGGATTCATGATCCTCCAAAAGCTGACCTTTACACCAAAAATAAAAAGAGCTAGACATTTCATCTTAATCTTCTGAATGCTGCTAGACTTATCTTCAAAGCATCTTTGATTCCTTTCTTCCCAAACTGTCCACCATATGCATGCTGGGACAATTCTCCATCTCTCTCTTTCTCTACAAGGTGTGCCCATTTTACTCCAGCTTGCCAGAATATCAAGGACTCTTCCTGGCATTGCCTATTGAATTCCCCTCAGACTGATGAAGATTCTCCATATCTGAGAGGTGAACTTGCAGTGCAAAAAGAGATGGTGAATTGTCTCTGCCTCCTCTTCACATAGATAACATTTGGAGCACAATTGAAAACCTCTTCTAGTTAGATTGTCATGAGTTAGAACTGCTTCTCTTGCCAGTAGCCATGTGAAGCATGCCACCTTATGTGGTATTTTTACTTTCCAAATCATCTTCCATGGCCAACATTCCACCTGATTATTGGACTGATTGAACTTCTTGTAAGCATCTTTAACTGAGAACTTCCCTTGACTATTGCCTTGCCATTTGATCATGTCTTGAACTTGGTTTGAGATGATGCCACTGAACTGCTGCAGAGAACTGTAGAATTCCATAACTCTGTCAATCTCCCAATCATTTAACAGTCTTCTGAATGTGAGATTCCATCCTTGGTTTGACCACACCTCTTCTATAGTAGCATTCTGTTGTTGACACAAATTGAAAATATCCGGGAATAGTCCCTTCAGAGATCCTTGGCCTAGCCAATTGTCCTCCCATAGTGAAATCTTTCTACCATTACCAACTTTGAACTTTGCCTTGTTGATTAGTTTTGGCCATAAGTTCCTAATTGATCTCCACAGACCGACTCCATATGGTCTTCTTACTGTCTTGGTTGTCCAGCTTCCTTCCTTTCCATATTTTTCCCTAATCACTTCTGTCCACAGAGATTGCTCATCTGCTGCAAATTTCCACAACCACTTCAGCATCAGACTTTGATTCTGCACTTTCAGATTTTTGATCCCCAACCCCCCTGATTTTTTGCTTGTAATTAGATCACCCCACTTAACCAGGTGAAACTTCTTTTTGTCACAGTTACCTTCCCATAGAAAGTTTCTTCTAAGGGCATCAATTCTGTTCACTACACTAGCTGGCATTGGAAATAAAGACATCATGTATGTAGGCATGGCATCCAAAACAGAATTGATCAAAATCAGCCTCCCTCCCATTGACAAATACTGGTTCTTCCAGTTAGACAATTTCTTTTCACATTTTTCCAACACATTATTCCATATTCCTTTTGATTTGCTCTTGGCTCCCAAAGGCATCCCCAAGTATATAGTAGGTAGAACCCCCACCTTCCCCCCCAAAACATTTGCCAGACTCTGTATTTCCATTACATCATTAACCGGATAAATAAGGCTTTTTTGCCAGTTGATGTGCAATCCAGAAGTGGCTTCAAACAGGATGAATATCACTCTTAGGACTTTCATTTGCTCTCTATCTGCTTCACAGAATACCAAGGTATCATCTGCATATTGTAAGTGAGAAATCCTTCCATTGTTGTCAGTTCTATTGGTCATTTTAAATCCCCTTATCCAGCTGTTTGTCTGTGCTTTCTTCAGCATTTCATTCAGTCCCTCCATGGCCAAGATAAATAGAAAGGGGGAAAGAGGGTCCCCTTGTCTTAGCCCCCTCTGAGAAGGAAAAAATCCAGCTGGAGCTCCATTAATAAGGATTGAGAAACTTACAGTAGAAATGCAGTATGATATCCATCTAATCCACCTCCCTCCAAATCCCATCCTCCTTAGAATTTGTAGCAGGTACCTCCAGTTTAAATGATCATAAGCCTTCTCTATATCCAATTTACATAGAATCCCAGGTTCTTTGCTTGAGATCCTTGTATCTATGCATTCATTAGCCACTAGGACAGCATCCATGATCTGTCTTCCCCTAATGAAAGCCATTTGTTGATGATCCACCAGCTTGTTGACCACCTTCTTGAGTCTTTCAGTCAGTAGCTTGGAGATAATTTTGTATATGCTACTGATCAAACTTATTGGTCTGAAATCTTTTAGCTCTTTTGCCCCTGCCTTCTTAGGAATCAATGCTACATAGGTAGCATTCATACTCTTCTCAAATATTTCCTGCTCATAGAAGTTCTGGACTGCTGCTACAACATCCTTTTTTACCACTTCCCAGCATTTGTTAAAAAAAGCCATTGAAAAACCATCTGGTCCTGGTGCTTTATCCCCTGCACATGCCTTAACACTGTCCCATATTTCCTGTTCTCCAAATGGGCTTTGTAGCATTAGGTTGTCCTCCTCTGTAATCATTTGATGGATGCTATTGGGCCCTGTTGGTCTCCATTCTTCTTCCTCTGTGTACAGCTTCTTATAGTATCTGATAACCTCCCTTTTGATGTCTTCTGGAGCCTGTAAAGACTCCCCTTCTACCACCAGTTGATCTATATTATTGTATCTTCTATGAGCATTAGCTGTTCTGTGAAAGAACTTGGTGTTCTTGTCTCCCTCTTTTAGCCATAAAGCCCTGGACCTCTGCCTCCATGCTACTTCTTCATTACTAGCAATCTCCTCAAACTCCAGTGATAATGAGTTCTTTGAGAGGATTTCTTCTTCAGTCAGGCTCCTTTGATCATGAATTCCTTCCATCTCTGCAAGTTGACTGAGAACACTTGCCTTCTGCAAAGCTAGGTTGCCTTGCAAGGTTCTGCTCCATTCTTTGAGCTTGGTCTTCAAAGCTTGGAGTTTAGAGACCAGTATAAAGTCTGGTCTCCCTTCATAAAAAAAGGAATTCCACCATTCTTCAATTCTTTCTTTAAATCCCTCAGCCTGTAACCACCAGTTTTCAAACTTAAAGTATGATTTGACTGGTTCCCATCTTCCACATTTGAGCATCAATGGAAAGTGATCTGATTTCTCCCTTTGCAACCTCTGCTGTTTGATGCTTCTGAACTCTTCATTCCAATCAGTAGAAGTTAAGAATCTATCCAGTCTAGCTGCAATAACATGTCTATCCCCTTTCTTCCAAGTCTACTCCCCCCCTGCTAGCTGCATATCTACCAACTCCATATCTTCAATGAAATTTGAGAAATCCATCATTCCTCTTGAGATTCTGGAACAATTCTTTTTTTTCCGAAGGATATCTCACAGTGTTAAAATCCCCACACACCACCCATGGACCAGAAAAGAGGCCCCTTACCCCTGCCAACTCCCACCACACTTCTTCCCTATCCCTTCTATCATTGGGAGCATATACAGCTGATAGATGCCATATATAGTCCTGAGTCTTGCCAAGAAATTTTCAAGTAATAGAATGAACACCCACCCCACATACTTCCCCCTCCCAAGCTCTACCATCCCACATTATTAAAATTCCCCCTCTAGTTCCACTGGCCTCCAATTGAGTATATTTCACCCACCTGTGATCCCAAAGTTCTCTAACAATCCCCCTGATATCCCCTTGAATTTTAGATTCTTGAAGACAAACTATATCTGCTTTCCATTCTAGTAGTAGGCTTTTGATAACTTTCCTTTTCCTTGCCCTATTCAGCCCCCTCACATTCCATGACAATATGTTTACTAACATTAACTCTGATTGATAATGACTCCCCCCCATTGATTTCAATATCTATGGATGTCATTTTCTGTACTTGTTAATTGGAGAAGACATTGACCATGGGTATGAGGACTTCCTTGACACTTTTACGCTCAGAGAATGTGTAGAGAAATTAGAGCTTCTGAAGATGCCTGAGGAGCGGCGGAGGAGGCTACTCGCAATTCCAGAAGTGCGTGCCGATCCAAATATGGATCCTAATTACGAATCTGAAGAAGATGCTGGAGCATCCGACTTCAAGAAACAAGGTGTACAGCATTGTGTTTTCAGTCACTCTTTTCCAACTTATTGCTGATTCCTTTTTATTGTGCACATTCCGGAAGATTGCTTACTGCTGTGGTTATGTAATGCAGTTGAATATGAGGGGCCAAGATACACTAGATTTAATAGAAGCCAAGACAAGCTTATGTCTTCACGGAGGAAAGGTGAGATAGTAATTGTACTAGCAAGTCTTTCAAAAGTTGATTTTTCATGAGCTAAATAAAATATTTGTTTTGTTTATCCAGCTAAAGAGGGATCTATGCCATGTAAAATGAGTGAGAAAAGAGAGGCCCATGGAAATAATATCTTGAAGAAGCTAGGAAATCAAGATACTGCATGTCTGGCTGTGGATAGGTCTGCATCTGAAACTTCAATTGCGAGCCTCTCTACAGTGGACTCAACATCCGCTAACAGTAGTGAAACAGACAAACTTTGGCATTACCGTGACCCTAGTAGTAGAAAACAAGGGCCATTTTCAGTGATGCAGTTGAGGAAGTGGAATAAGTCGGGGCTTTTCCCACCTGATATGAGGATATGGACAGATGATGAGCATGATGACTCAGTACTTTTAACTAATGCACTAAAGGGGCTGTTCCATAAAGCCCCTCGGCCGCATGATGAGATATCACACCAGTCTCAGGAGCTTGGTGCTGCTTCTGTAAGCAGTAGTGCTGGTGCGTGTAAAAGTGCAACTGGAACAGGGAGAGAATGTGGAGAGAGGGAGGTACCTTGGCACCTCCGTGTTACAAACAACCATTCTAATGGTAACACCGACACTACGAGGATGGATGGATTATCCTCATCTGTTCCAAAATCTTTGGATTTGAATAACTCTTATTCTTACAAACCCCGACCATCCAGTCCAGTCCCTCCATCCAGTCATGGGAATGTGCAGGGAGATCCTCCACATGGGAAAAGATGCCATAAAATTTTTCAGTCCAGTACCAGTCATATGGTCCAGGACTCAAGTGGAAGCACAATATCCCAAATATCTGATGGCCGCAACCATAGTATGCTATCCAACAGTCGGAGGCATTTAGGACAGTCGTCTGGACAGAACTGGGGATCCTTAACCAGTAATAGAAGTTCGGTTAACATAAATTCTGGATATAATTTTGCTTCAGTTACTGAGTTTGGTGATTCATTGGAACAGAAAGATATCAAGAATTATCCAGATCTGCCCAGTCCTACCCCACAAACAAGCTATGCCGATGTTGAAGCTCAGGCTGCTGAAAAGCCGCTTTCTGTTAGTTCGGTTGTTCCAGTTTGTGCTTCAAATGTCCAGGATTTACCAAGTCCTACTCCAAACTTGAAAGACGAAGCTCCAGTTGGGCAGGCAGCAGCGGACAAAGAATCTTTTCCTTCTAGTTTAACTGTTCAGCATTCAGGCTCTAGCTGGAGCAGTGCTTCTAGTCTAGTGATCAGTCGGGCCCAGCTTCATGAAATAGCGAATGGATGGGGCGGATGTTCACCAGCTATGAAACCATCTGTGGACTCTGATCTTGTATCTGATTCTTCACTGAAACCAGCTGAAACAGTGTGTGATCGTGTCGATGCACCTACTTCAGATGCCAACCAACTCGATCGTAATTCCTCATCTCATCCAATCTCAAACTGTTCCGATTGGCGAGCAACCTTTTACGAGCCAATTGAGTTCAGCACTCTAGATGAGGAATCGGTGTCAGATCTATTAGCTGAAGTCGATGCAATGGAATCTCAAAATCAAAGTGGTATGGCTTCACCCACCTCAGCCATGAGGTGCAGTGATGAGATGATACCTGTGTGCACTAGTGACTGGTTCAGCTCTATTGAGGAGCTGACTCGCACACCTGATCCTGCAAATAGTGATGCCTTGATATCCACTGAAGATGCTCAATTACCTTGTCAATCCTCTCTGACAGATGAACTAGCGGGGGCATCACCGGCTGTTGTATTTGATCCTTTAAAGAGGTCTAGTGGGAGTTCATCTTCTAGCAGCGAGGGAGAAACATAGTCGGCTGATGTTTCCTTTTCCCAGGGAGAAGCTGGGTCCAACGTATCTAACCCTCTACCACGAGCCAAGAAACTGCAGCTTCAGCGATGAGCCGGAGTACAGTACTGGAAGCAATGACCGCTGATTGTTGGGCAGCATCTGGAAACAGGATTTCGGGTGCACCGATTCAGGGATTTACGAATGGTAGTCAGGGTAGCTACATGGAAACTGCATGGGGAAGTTCACACATGAACGTGCCACTTTTACTGGGAATCCAGCATTTGGAACACAGTATATATATGTACAGGGGAGAGGTCTAGTTGTCCAGGAGATTGGGTTGTTCCAGTTGGGTACTTTGGATTTGGTAGGGATAGGTCATTGAGCAGACAGCCATTTGGTGCTGGGGGTTACTCTAGGCCTCCTACCAAAGGGGACAGTTTGTAAATTTTATTTGAGTGGGCGTTGCAGGAAGGGAGATTCATGCGACTGTATCCACACGTGAAGGTGAGAAGTTAAAGGCGAGTTCACGGCAATTTCTTTAATTTTTTTTTGTACAACCAAAATCTTTTACAGTAAGATGTAAGCTAAACTCTCATAATTCAACCGAAAGAATGCCAGTAAAAATGGCAGTGTACAAAATTATTTTTCCCACAGAACCATAATGTTAACCTGGTAGAAACTAGTGCGCACTAAAGCAGGCAAAAACAATTGTATTTGTGTATTATCCTTGTATTTGATCCTGAAAATATTGCTAATGTACAAGCTGCAGCAGTGAATTGATGAGAGTCACGAATTCTGTACGTATACATTTGGAGAAAAGAGGTTCTGTTCTTTTGAGATTGGTTATTATTATCCTCAATCTTGTTGCCATTTCTACCAGTGAAACATAACATTTTAGCTTCTGCTGTAAGGAAGTCTGAATAGATGCACTGGGTGGTTCATTTTTCGGAAAAGGGCCAAATATATCCCTTTACTATTGCAAATTGTTTAAACTTATCATTCGTTATACTATTTGGCCATTTCAGACCCTACCGTTATACTATGAGTCACATTTGCCCTTATTTTTTACGGAGGCCACGTGGCAGCTCCTCATTAAACGACCCACCCCCAATTTAATTACCCGATTCACAACTCCATTACCCATAGCCCGACCCGCTAGTGAATGAAGACAACTGTAGTTTTTGATAGTAAAGAGATATATTTGGCCCTTTTTCCGTTCATTTTTTGGTAAGTTGTAACCAAGCGTCCAAGGATTGATTGGTCAAAATAGATTCAACAATAACTATAACCGAACCCTTGTAGCTCAAGACACGTGTTTCATTTGTTATCTTTTTTCCCTTTTTAGGAATTTGTCCCATTATGGGGATGTTGTGTTTCTTTAGTTGTGTTGATCTTCATTTATTTATAAAGCAAAAAAAAAGAGAGAAATAACATTAACAGATTTATTAAAATATATGAATCAATCTAGACATTGAACAACTCTATCAATCTTTTTATTTTTCTCAACTTTTATTGATTATAAATCATAAAAAAAAAAAAAAATTGTTCCCGTTTTCTAAATACTTGACTAATTTAGTTCTTTGTGTAGTTCTACTCAAGTCTCTAGACTTGATTTTGTACGCCTGCTGTCAACTAGCTAATTCCTTCATGTTGATCCCATGATTGTTCATTTACCTACAATTGACTAGGGTGGTAATTTGAGCCCAAATCCATTCAACCGCCTAACTCGCCCAGAGATTAATGGGTTGGGCTACAAATATTTTAGCTCATTGGTCTATTTGAGCTGAGTCCAAGTTAACCCATTATTTTTTAGAGATTTTTACTTTCCTATGCCACACAGGAAACCTTATTACCCTCAATGTTTAAGGTTTGACTTAATTACACTTAGTATACCAAATTATCAATTCTATACCATAATTAATTAAGGGTATAATTAATTGTACATTTTTTACTCCTTAATTAAAGGAATCTGCACGTTTCTCTCTCCTAACCCCTCGGTCCTACACACGTTTTACCCATACCCACGTTCTTTTTACCATTTTCCATCTTCTCAAACCAAATTCTCCCTCTAAATTCACAGAAAATTGAAGAAACCCTTTAACAAAGTTGGTTCCCCATTTTACTCCAGTTGAAGTTCATCAATGAAGAACAACAAAGTTCATCAAAATTGAAGTCAAATCTTCAAAGTTCATACACACATTTACCTTCAGCTTCAAATTTTCTCAATGAAGAACAAACCTTCAAAGAGACAAGAGAGCAACAATTCTACCATTGACAGCCATTAAAAAGCTTTGAAACTTTGAATTCAAAATTTGGGTTTTCAAAAATCATTATTTATTTTGATTGGGTGTTGTTGAAAATAATTGGGAATATGTTTTGGAGTTTATATCTCAATTTTGAGGGGTTTTGGTGAAGATTAGACTTGGTTTTGACTGAAATTCAGATTGAAACTCGAAGAAGAAGAAGAAGAA